GTGAAGTAGGATAAAATTCAAATGCTTACAATCGCTTAGTAGCTAGCATCTGATTGCTGCAAATTGAATCTTTCATAACGGGATTTATTGTAAACAGTGTCATATCATTTGTGATTCTGTAATAATTTCAGTCAAAGCCAGTGCAAGATATTGGGGGTGTGAGATTTACATGATAAATATGCTAGTTTGTGCACATGTTATGAAAGGATTTTTTTTGTTGTCAATATTCTTTTTTTAATTGCCTGCAAGATAACCTTAATTATAATTTTTTTCTAAAATTTTGAATGTTATCATGGAAGAAAACAGACTAATCCACTTCACTTCAACACCTGTTTTAAAACTGCAAGTCCCCAACCCTACTGTCTTCCCTTTCTACCTAGTTATTAAATAAAAATTCAAATTAGAGGCAATTAAAATTCTTAAAATGTGCCTTTTATATTGTTTGGAAACAATAAAGAGCCTACTAATCATAGCTACTGATCAATATCCTATCATTAAAAAAAAGAAAGAAAATTCAAAACTAAAATATTTTGAGGCCTACAAAATGCTTAAATTAAATGCTTTAATTCCTTTATGAGAAAAATGGGAAGGTGACAGTAATTTAAGTGATCGATACTATTATTCATCTTTGAGTTTAGCTCCAAATACTTCATTGGAAGTTCATAAAAGATCAACAGGAAAAGCATAATGACTGAATAGTACTTTGCACGTATGAAAATTTGGTGACATTCCACACACTTGATAGCTTTAACTGCTAATGACATGAACCCCCCAAAAGGCACTATCTTACAGTCACATCATCTTCCTCTTGAAAACCAAAATAATAGAAATTTTAAAAAGAAGAAATAAATAGTAGGGGTAGAAGATTTAGATAATCTGTTCTCTTTCTTTGCTTTGCCCTAAAGAACAACAACAGAAATCCTTCCTAGTATTTTGCTGTGTATTTGGCTTTTCTATTATAGCCTGAATATGAGAATTCAGTGTCCCAGCAGGATCTCACTCTCAGATAATCTAGGATCTTGACAGAAAAGGGCTTTTGTGAGGGCCTCAGTTTGGTCTTCATTTCTTTGCGAAAATATCCTATATGCATGTTAATGTTTTTCTAGATGGGGAATTCCCTATTTCTGAATCTCAGAATTTTCAGCTTTCTCTCCTCCCTTATGCAGGTGTCTTTCCATGGCTCACAGGTCAAAGAGGGGCATGATAAGATAGCCTTTTGGTGAGGGCCCTATGTGTATTTTAATAAGTGCACTGGTCAGAACACTTGTAAGTTAGAATGAATCATATTCTGTATTTATTAACAAACAAAACTCAATCTAAGTCATGTCCAGCTTTCTTTCATGTTCATTTTATTCAAGGGCATACCTTTCTTTTTCTGTTTTCTCTCCCCCTCACCTCACCGCCTTTCTTGGACACCTCCAACCCTCATTGACAACCGAAATGCAGAGCTATAAATGTAAGGGCACAATACATCATGAGATAAGTCTGGAGAACATGCCCTCTACCAAAATGTGCATGACTCTCTAGTACCAGCTGAAATTCCAGAAACATGCTGAGGTTCATTTTGCATGCTAAGCAGGGTCAAACATGTTAGCACTATGTGATCACCCTTAAACCAGAATATGAACTCCAAAGTTGAAAGGTTACATTTGTGAAATTTCATCTGGGTTTCCTAGCACTTGATGCTGGCTCCTGCAAATCAAAGAGTCCTAACTGAAATACAAATCTGACAATATGATAATCTTCCAACAAAAAATATGATTTCTGAATCCTTATCTGATGAAGAGCTGACAGTGAACTTCAAAGGTTGTTGTTTAATCAGAGAAAATGGTTTTAAACAAGATCATAAAGCTTGAATAGGGTGGGGAAAACAAATACAAAGCAAAGGTCTGTCCTTTACCAGTGGGGTTTGTATACTCAGCCACTCCCAAGAGGCAAGGGCCAGAGTCTTCCAAGTCAGCCTCAAACCCCAAATACCAAGACAGGATACAGAAGCATCTTAGCATACTTTGAGATCAGACAGTTTCTGAATTTCATAGTGGGCGGGGGTCGGGAGTGGAAGGGAAAAGCAGCATACCAATGTAGTAAAAGCTGGAACAGCAGCATATATACAGAGACAAAAAAAAGTTTGCATATTGCACAGAGCGCTTGAAGATCATAAATCTATGCATGAGAAAGATGTAGTGGAAATTTTGGGGGGGATTAGAGTTTATTTTTGTCATCTCTGTGAGACAGCTACTCATTCATCCAGATCACAGCTAAGAAAAAAGCTGGTCACAGAAATTAGCAGTTTCAGCTCAGCAGCGAAGTCGCCAGCCTGTGAAGGCAGAGAGAAATTGACTAATTAGCAATGCGCACTAAAACTTGACGGTTCTTTATAGAGAGAAGAGAAGAGAGAGGGAGAGAGAGGGAGAGGGAGGGAGAGGGGGGCTCGCTTTTTCCCCTTCTTTCTTCCAAAGATGTTTGAAATCGCAGTCATTTACGCTCGACAATTTTTACAATAGCCTTGAGCCATAATTTTGCGAGTCTCTCCAGCATCCATCCCCCTGTATGGTCTCTCTCTACTGGCCAAGCACGACCGTTTCTCTCCCCAACCGTGGATTTCCTATTACTCTCGTTACGACTCACTGAGCCCCAGGCCCAAGGATAATGATGTGTTGTTTCTTGGTAGCATAATTTGTCACACGTACATTTTTTCTTCTTCTTCTCTTGCAGAAAGCTCTGCTCCCTCTCTCTCTCTCTCTCTCTCTCCCTCTCTCTCTCTCCTCTCCCTCTCTCTTTCTCTCTTTTCTCCCTCTCCTACATTTTCTTGCTGTTGCTAATTCATGGTGATCAAATGATGTACGACAAAATAAATTGTAAAGAGTGACTGCCTGGAGTTGGGAACCAGAAGGTGTGTTCCCCTCCCAAGGAGAGAGCAAACCTTTAAAAAGGAAGGACAATTGATTTTGGGGGGGGAGCTTAAGTGAGCCTTGACTTTGCAGCTGGTTGACAGCAGGTAAGTTTCTGGCCTTGTGTCTGCCTTGTGTGTATTTTTGTTGTCTTTTGGGTTGTTGGAGGGGGGAGGGAGTCTTTCAGAGGGGTGGGGGGGTAGTTGTGTTGTAAACGCTCTTAAAGAATAAAACTCCCATTGCAAGAATTAAGCAGATTTTGGGGGGAGGGGGGGCGAGTGCAAAGGACACCAAAAAGGAAAAGGAATAGGAAAATATGGGGAGTGGGGGGATGGTGAGACAACGAAGCGGGGAGAGCGCGAGAGAGGTATGACCGGGGCCACTTCCAGGCAGAGACTCTCAGATGTTTCCAGCAAGCCAGAGCTTTGGGGGCGGGGGTGGGGGTGCTGCCGGGGGGAGGGAGCGCGAGGGAGGTTAGGGTCCACCTGGAACGGGATGGTAAAGTGAGTGGAGAGGAGCCCAGTCTGGTCGAAATGGGAAGCTGGCGATCCAGGACTGGCGCCAGGCAGGGCAGAGTGAGCCGCAGTGGCAGGGGCAGGTCCGGCGGGATCCTGGGTGCCGGGCGGCGGCGCGGCGGCGACTCTCCCCAGCCGGCGGGCGGGTTGCGGGCAGAGGGTCCCTTTCTGCTCAGCCCTGGAAGGTGCAATTACAGGTTAAGGACCGGGCGGATCGATTTCGCCTCCCCCCACCCTGCCCCCAAAGCTCTGGCTAAAGGAGCCTAGATGCGGGCGGCTTAGACTTTTTACAGAAGTAATTCCAGGGCCGGCGGAGTGGGGGTGCCCGAGTGGGGGACCTCTGGGAGCTGTGCCCAGGGGTTCAGAAGGAAGTCGCGATAGCCAACGACCGTGCGGGGTAGGAAGCAAAGTCCAGGCACCGGATTGCGCCCTCCCCCCCATTAGACAGTCCTCACCCCTCCCCCAACACCTGCCTTCTAACTTGAACTTCTAGTTACTGGAGTTAAAGCCCAGTGCCCGGGAGAGAGAATCGTCCACACGACTCCCTCCTGGCCCCCCAGCTCTTGCTGTAAAGTCACCCTGTAGCCCCTCGGTGCGCCCCGCTCTGGAAGGGGAGGTAGATATCTGAACTTTCGTGCTTTGAAATACAAGAGGCGGGGTGAGGGGAAGAGGGGGTACGCGGGTTGGTGGGGGAAGAGTGGAAGGATTTTCCTGGCAGGTTTAAAGACGTCTCTGGAAAATTAGCAAAGCAGCGTGGCGACGGGGAAGCCAACAGTTTGCGAAGCAGGGAAGCGGGCAGGGCCGGGGTGAGGGAAATGAGCTAGAATTGATAAGGACAGCTCCCGCCTCTGCCGAGTCCACTGAGCTGGTCCTCACCGCGCTCCGCTGCACTTTCCCGAGAGAAGAAAGGGCTTTATCTCCTCCCTCACACTATTAGCCTAGGAGTTTCTCGGGGCAGCACGGATAATCGAAGGGGTCCCCAGCTTTGGAGAGCTAAGAATCGCCCACTCGCACGCCTGTCCGGGCCCCTTTTCTTCCCCCACCCCACCCCCCCAAAACTGGGCCAACTACGAAAAGCAAAGCTTGCAGCACGCGTTGAGCTGGAACCACCGCCGTCGGTCGCCTTTGAGCTCTCGGGGTACCCCTGACTCCCCACTCCTGGCCTTTCCCTTCAGCTGGCCCGGCATGGACACGAGCCCACGAGGTATCTCGGCCTCAGTCGCCACTTTGCCGTCGCTGCTGCCACCGCTGTCGCTGCCACCAACCGTGCCGGGGTGGTTTTAAGAAAGTGAGGGGCGAAGTGTGTGAAAGGTAGTAGGGCGCAGAACCGGCGCCGGGACCCCAGGCAGGGTCCTTCTGGTGGCGCTCAAGGATCCAGCACCTTCAGACCTTCCTCTTAGGGTCGGGTCCGGAGCGCGCCGGGAGGGAGCCCAGCTGAGCCTTGATTGTTGTTCTTTGCCCTCCCCTCCTCTCCACACCCTTCCCCACCCCGACCACACCCCACCCCCTCCATCACCCTTCCCCCCTCCCATCCCCCACCCCGTCTGCCAGGTTGGAGGAGGGTTTAAAACCAGGTGCGCCGAGTCAGCTCGCCATGTCCAGATCCGGGGACAGGACCTCCACCTTCGACCCCAGCCACAGCGACAACCTGCTGCACGGCCTCAACCTGCTGTGGAGGAAGCAGCTGTTTTGCGACGTGACCCTGACGGCCCAGGGCCAGCAGTTCCACTGCCACAAGGCCGTGCTGGCCTCCTGCTCCCAGTACTTCCGATCGCTCTTCTCCAGCCACCCGCCTCTCGGGGGAGGGGTCGGCGGCCAGGACGGCCTGGGGGCCCCCAAGGACCAGCAGCAGCAGCAGCCGCAGCAGCAGCCTTCACAGCAGCAGCAGCCACCGCCACAGGAGGAGCCCGGGACTCCTTCCTCCTCCCCCGACGACAAGCTGCTGACCAGTCCTCGAGCCATCAACAACCTGGTGCTGCAGGGCTGCTCATCCATTGGGCTGCGCCTGGTGCTCGAGTACCTCTACACGGCCAACGTGACCCTCTCCCTGGACACTGTGGAGGAGGTGCTGTCGGTCAGCAAGATCCTGCACATCCCCCAGGTCACCAAGCTCTGCGTGCAGTTCCTCAACGACCAGATCTCGGTGCAGAACTACAAGCAGGTGTGCAAGATAGCGGCGTTGCACGGCCTGGAGGAGACCAAGAAGCTGGCCAACAAGTACCTGGTGGAGGATGTGCTGCTGCTCAACTTCGAGGAGATGCGCGCCCTGCTGGACTCGCTGCCGCCCCCCGTGGAGTCGGAGCTGGCGCTTTTCCAGATGTCCGTGCTGTGGCTAGAGCACGACCGCGAGACCCGCATGCAGTACGCGCCCGACCTCATGAAGCGCCTCCGCTTCGCACTCATCCCGGCCCCCGAGCTGGTGGAGCGGGTCCAGTCAGTGGATTTCATGCGCACCGACCCAGTCTGCCAGAAGCTGTTGCTGGACGCCATGAACTACCACCTGATGCCCTTCAGGCAGCACTGCAGGCAGAGCCTGGCCAGCAGGTAGGAGACAACAAAGAGCAGGGCGGGGGGGGGGGGGAGCCCGAGAGGCCAGAGGGAGGGGAGGGGGCAAGGAGGAGGAGAAAGCCTTCTTGGGCTAGGTGGGAGGCTCCAACAAGCTGAAAACAAATGCAAACATTTCAGATAGTGTGGAGAAAGTTGATTTCAGAGTCCCTGAAAGGTCAGTAGGGAGCTGGCCTAACAGCATATCTGAGCGCTCAAATGCGCAGGTTCTCGAAATCCCCGGAGCGGGAAACAGAACTGTGGACTAAGTGTGAAATTGACAGACAGGTGGGGCCAAAGGCCAGGGCAGTTAAAAGTGCAGGTTTGCAAGTCTCTCTGGGCTTCTCCTTCCAAACCTCAAGGTGGGCTTGCTCCAAGAGCAGGATTTGTGAGAAGTCCCCACACTCTCTTCTTTCCTACCTTAGGCCAGCAGAAGTGCCCAGGCAGTGCCAGTGGAGAGCTTTCAGAGCCTTTCTGTCACACACCTATGGTGTTTTATGCTTTTGTTTTTATTTTCGTGTGTGTGTGTGTGTGTGTGTGTGTGTGTGTGATTGAAGTCCGCTCCTTTGGAGGTTGGAACGCAAAATGCTTTGTCTAATTGGGTAGCTATTGAAAATGCTGGTCAAACTTTTCAACGTTGTAGAAAAGCCTTTCTTTTTTACTTTTAAAAGGAGAGCAAAGCCAAGGGCTTCCGGGTGGTGGGGTGAATCTTGCCTAGTCACTTTCCATTTCAAAGAGGAGTGCAGCTGAAATTTGGGAGAGGGAGCAGTCTTATAGCTCCAGTTGCTCTGTGTGCCTGCCCAAGAGTCACAAAGAAGTAAGATGTTGTTATTGACATTTAGTAGGTATCTGTGTATATGTCGCAAATAGGATTTTATGCCAACAGATAGAAAAAATGACCTCTTCTAAAAATGCTGCTGAGGTGAAAAGGCTGTAGGAATTGACAATTGTGTTTTATTGGCTCCAATTTTAAAGCCCTTTTTAACGAGCCCTAGCAAAGGGTTTCTTTCTCTTTTTAGAAAAGAGAAACAGTATCCTCTTAGTTTCTCATGATAAAGCATCATGATTCTAGCTGTCAGGCTACTCCAGCCTAAGCCACCAAAGTGTTCCTTTAAGGAAGTACAGGATTTGAAAATCTGCCATGGCACGCTCCCATGCATGATGATGTCTAAAGGATGGGTCCACATTGTGCAACCTTGTGGAATTAAATATTTGGATTTTTTCCCCTTGCTTTTCTACCGTAATGAGGTAACTGAAGTTTTAAGAAATGGAAGATATTCTGTACAGTTGTTCAGGCAGCACTAATGGTAAGGTGAGGTCAACAGGAGGCATGAGGAATCTTGGACTTGTAACAAATCCTGTAAGGTGATTTTTCTAAAATCTGTAGAAGATGAGTTAATGTATTGTAGTGTCAGAAGATGAAAATATAGCAGGAGCAGAAACAAGAATTCAAACCCCATGCTGAGCACAGGAGTCCAAGTGACAAGAAGACAACATATGTGTTTTTATCTTGTAAGAGTTTTTCATTTGTCTAAATATCAAAATGGCAAACTTAGTGTGATGGACAAGTGTTAGGAGACCAATGGGCATTGGTGATTACACTATTATTTTGATTTTTTTCATATTTAAATGTCCTATAAGTATACGTCACTCAGCATATATTGGTCAAGAATTAGACTTTACAATTGCAATCCTGAACATACATTTTTTTTTGTGCTTTTAAAAAAATGTGTACTTTAGAATAAACTCAGAAACCCAGAGAGATAATAAAATTAAGATTGAACTTGTTCTAAGGGTAATTTTGCCAGATAAGCTTTATAGATTACTCCAATAAATAATTTCTGGAGCCCTCAACGCACTTTTATGTGTAAGTATGTCCTAGGATTCAATGCGAGGAGAGTTGACTTTAAAAATACAAAATCCATTTCTCACCTTCCTTCTGAATTCAGCACACCAGCTGGGGCCTGCTGGCTCTGTCCTGGTGGATGGCTGAGATACCAGGCTGCCTGGCTCCGTAACAACACCTTCCAGCTTCACTGGGCCACATCATTTGAAGGATATGTAGTGGTGTCTGACCACTAAATGCTTACAAGTGTCATGGATGCTGCAAGAATCTGATACTTCTGCAGTAGGAAGAAAACTGTATTTTCCTTTAAAAGAGGAAGATATAGAAAAGAAAATAGTTCTTGTGAACCTATTATGGATCTCAAAGTAATATTATTTAGATTTGGTTCCATTATTAGCAACTGTAGCAATTTGAATTTTAGGGACTAATCACATCATTCTAATTTTAATTCACAGAAAGAATGTGAAAATAACCATCAAGAGCTTAACTTTAATGTAGAAAAAAATGCTTTAAGTTGCAACCCACTAGTATTAAGTGAGACCATTTATTGTAGCATCAGCATAATACAAAAATATTTTCTCGGCCTTACATGTAGTTCAACAGAAGAACAAATGTGTTCACCTACTGTTTTTGAGATTACGTTACTTTCATTGAAGACAATTGAATAGAAGGACATTCTATTTATTACTTTTTATCCTCTTGTAATTTTTAGAATCCAAATCTGAAAGCATTCCTCAAATTCAGGGAGGAAGACAGGATGTTGAAATGAGTACAAAATATAAACAAATAGAATAACCCCAAAAGAATTCACTTGTTTGAGAATATATGTTGTACTAAGAATGATAATTTAAACATGCACATTTGAATTTTTATTGTTCAGAAAAATAAAGCAGCCCAAGCATGAGGTCTTTATATAAATACTGAAATCAATTTTTCTCTAGCTACTTAATTTTTCTATGTATGTCATTTGCACTGATTCATATTATTTTTTTTAACAAACTAAACATTAGGACAATAAATAAAATGAAATGAGAGACTTCACCTTGTGTTCAAATTACATCTTAAGTCATTTGGAGTAACAAACATTGATAAAAGATATAAAGTTTAAGTTAGATGGGGGAATAAGTTTAGTGACCTATTGCACAGCATGCAATAGTGATGATAGTTAATAATAATGTATATTTCAAAATTGCTAAAAGATTAAATTTTAAACATTCTCACCACAGAAAAAGGATAAGTAGATGAGGTAATTAATTAGCTGATGTATTAATTGGGTTCATTTACTCTTTCTACAATCTATACATATATTAAAACATCACATTAAACTAAAAAATATGTGTAATTTTTGTCAATTAAATTCAAAAGAATTTTAAACATAGCAGGACTAGGATAGACATAAATTTAAATATTTTATTTTATTGACTTTTTTTGTAATCAGTATGAAACTTTCTTGCAATTTGAAGAAAAAATATGAACTAAGATCATAAAAAGTCTCTGGAAAAGTCACTTATTAAAGTCTTCTAAAGCATGGAAATTTAATTTAATAAAATGACTTTGATATTCAGTAGTTAGTACATTAAAAAGTAAATATCCGAAAACTTAGTCTAAGTCATGGTCTTAGACTTACTTCTAGTAAGTCTATAACTTGTAGCACAGAAGACTTATAGTCTAAGTCAGCTTAACTAACCCAAAAAGCTTCTTTTTTATTTGTATTTTAAATTTGGATGTATATGTGATTATCTCAAGTCAACTTGAACTGAACTAGTTAACTTTTTTTCTTTAGAGTTTCATTGCCCCTCACATGATATAACAATTATATAAAAGCTTACTGAAGGTTGAATGAATTTGGGTCATGAAATAAGAAACTAAGTATTGTACTTCATCAGCATTTCGCAGTCTGTGCTACTGCTGCACACAACAAAAGTCCATTGGACCTTCTCCAAGCAAACACCTGTAAGAGGGAAGCATTCATGAGCACAAATACATTTTAAAAGATTTAACCATTAGCTAATAAGTCCTTTAGAGAGTCCCAGACTGAAATTTAGTTTTGAGAAATTATAATAGGAGTTTAACCATATAAAAACTTCCCTCATCACAAAATGTATTTAAAGATTTTAACATAAACTAATGTTAAATATTTAAACATCAGAGGCACTAATTATCTATTTGCTAAAATGTCTTGCAACAATTAAAAAGCCATAGATTTCCTAATACACAGGTTTGATTACTGGTTTTTGTGCTTAGAAAGTGTTTCTTTAAATGTAGGACAATTGTTATGTTTTGTTTTTATTGGCTCTCTTCCTAAGAACTGAATAATAACCTTAACAAAGCAAATTAATCTTGTATCTGTGCATTCTCTAAATTGTTACTTCCCTTTATATCAATTTGATACCCTCAGATTAGAAGTTGTTAGGCAGTTAGATTTTGTATCAGAAGGTACTCAACCATTCAGAATACAATTTGTTTATTATCTGAAACAGGACCATTGATTACAAAATTATATCACAGGTATGGGAATCAAACATTTATATCCTATAATCAAAAGGCAATTAGAGTAGATATTAATGCATTTTATTAGCACAGAGGACTTACTGACAAGTGGACATTTTCAAATTTTATTTCATGCTTCTCTTCTTTGCTATTTATGAACATGTGGAGATTCACTTATTAGCTCATTTCTAAACATCTGAATTTTCTTATCTAAAAAAAAACACAGTCAAAAATGTTACCTTATTTACAACAGCTACTTATACCAGGTGATATTTTGAGCACTTTGAAGATGTAAAATTTTTATATCCTCATCATTAGCTCCATTATAGAGTTGAAAAACTGATGCACAGAGAAGTTAAGCATTGTGCCCGTGATTGCAAAGCTGAACCTAGGTAGTGTAGCACCTGATGTGTATTCTCACAGTGTGCTGGTTCTACCACCACTTCCTCCAAGCCAGGCACCATATGGTGATTGACCTCCGAGTTAGAAGTACACTTTAGGAGTTCCCTTTGGAAGAAAAAAAAAGATGGTGAGGGGAAAAATATGAGTTTATATGAGTTTTTAAAAATTTAAGGAGAGTTTTTCTTCTGGAGTTCAGCAGTTTTTTTTTTTTTTTCTAGAAAATGCCAAATAGTAATTACTTTTGGCTTTGTGGTCACAGGTC